TCTTTCACACATGCCACTGACACAGTAACCAGTGAAAAGTAAAAGGGACCCTGCTTGTTTTTGGTAGTAACTGATTCAGTCTTTATTGAATAAACTGAGGTTTTTAAGGCCAGTTGTGATGATAGATAAGCTACTACTAGCAGAGTACTAGGGAACTGCAAACATTGTGAGTGATGATAAGTACAATGGAGTCTTCTATTTTCTTTTTAAATGAAGATGACTATAGAGCTGCAGAACATCACTTCAACAGGTCATCACGTAAGAGTTATCCCCCCCTCTACTTCAGCATTTACTGTTGGGCCAGGTAAGGGTTATTTTTACTGCTTTTAAGATGTTAACACATAAGCAACCTAATTTAGCTGCTTGAACAAAAATGATGTTTGGTTCTGCTATCCGTAGTGCTCTGGGTAGAACAACAATCTGCTCGGTTCTTTAGAGGCTGAAGGTGGTCTTATATCTCTAGGACCATTCACATACAACTCATGAGCAGATTCAAGTAGTCTAATGAGGAATTCAAGAAGACTAACATTAAAATGTTTGAAGTTAGGTTGAAATATATCCATGGAATACCTGGATTGAGTATTACCAAAATTTATTTAAGAACAGACGTAGTGTCCATTGAAATCAGTCACGGGAGAGGGTTAGAAACAGCATACTTCAACTGCTGCAAGGAAATTCAGGTTAGAGGAAAGGTAAGAAAAACATCTTTCCTACTGTAGGATAGCCAGGCACTGGCATAGATTGCCTAAGGAGATTGTGGTGTCTCAGTCACAGCATTGGAGGATTATTTAGGAGAAGTTAGATCCCCTCCATGTAAACCTTGTCTTATGGCAGAGGAAAATTGAGAAACATCTCTAGATTTCTCCTCGTTCTGTTTTCTTTAGTTATGAGAAGCATATTTCAGATAAAAAACCTTTTTTGGGTTCAGGATATGCACATACACAGATTACACTGGCAGGCCTTTTGTGGTCATTCATTTATAACAGCTTGACTTAGGCAATAAATGGGGAGAGTTTACAGGCACCTTTCCAGAGGGAGATGTGATTATAAAAACGTATGCCAATTTTGGGAGGTTTTAATTTTTTAAATTCCTTGTGTTTTTGTTGTGTTTTTTTTCCCCCAAGGAAAATTTCCAGGAAAGGGAGGAATGGTTGCTCCTGGGATGACGTGCCAGTACACAGTCCGATTTATTCCTGAGTATCTGGGAGATTATGAAGATTCTATGGTAGTGGAGACTCAAGCATCAGTACCTCTTCTGATCCCGATTCAAGCTAAAAGACAGCCTCCAGTGTTGACGTGTCAGTAATGCCCAGTTCTTAAGTTTCTCTAAATTAAATGGATTTGTAGTTGTTTTGTTTGTTTTTTTTTAATTTGACTCTTTCCAATTTTATGTCACAAAATCAATGTGAAAAAACTTGCCAGTGCTTTTTCTACATTTTTTATATCTATCTCATTTTAACTCATAATAGATTTGTTAGTTCTTAAAATGTAATCCTGTCAAAGTTTTTCTCAATTATTTTTGATTGCCACATCAAGCTCATTTTTTTTCACTGTATTAGAGGAATGAGCAGGAGCCAATTTTCTAGGTTTGTGTCTTGCGGATTTGTGAACTACTAACTAATTACTAACCCTAAATATTAAGGAATTGTGATTTAATTATAAATATTTGATGCTATTAATTAATATTCATGGGATGTTACATTAATTATATATCACAGAATCACAGAATATTAGGAGTTGAAAGGGACCTTGAAAGATCATCCAGTCCAACCCCTGCCAGAGCAGGATCACCAGACCAGGTCACACAGGAACATATCCAGGCGGGTTTTGAATGTCTCCAGAGAAGGAGACTCCACAGCCTCTCTGGGCAGCCTGGGCCATGCTCTGGCACCCTCAAAGTAAGAAAGTTTTTCCTCGTGTTCAAGTTGAACCTCCTATGTTTCAGCTTGCTCCCATTGCCCCTTGTCCTGTCACTGGACATCAGAGAGAAGAGCCTGGCTCCTTCCTCCTGACACTCGCCCTTTACAAATTTATAAACAAGAAATTTGCTTTGATTTTTTGTAAATTCACCTTTCTTGTTATACGGAGCTTTTTTAAAAATCGTCTTACCTTTTGTCCTCATTCAATGGAGTCTTTTAAGTAGGAAGTGCCATTAAAATGTAAGATGAATGTAGAAATACACACCTCATACTGTTTAACTTTCAAATTGAAAGAATTTAAGGCTTTTTAGGGTTGCAGCACCTTGCATATTTGTTTCCAGTAATTTTGTCTTTAATGAGAACTGGCTTTGCCAGCTGCTAACCTTCACTGTGTCATCTGATTTTCTGTGTTGCTGCAGTGCCTTGCCTTGTAGACTGTGGTTTCTGCCTTGTTGGAGGAATAAAAGTAATGATGATTTTGTGCAGAAATGAGGGATCTCACCGTGGGAAGTTTTGTATAACGCCAAAGAAGGACTGGCCACTTTCTGATTTTGAGGTGAGTGAGTAGAAGGGAAATACTGGATATGGTATGGTATCAGTGCCCTGACGTGAAGGCCTTTAATGTAGTCATGGTATATTAGCTCAGAAGTCAGAAGGCCTTGCTGGGGACATCTCTACTGTTCAGTTCTATCAGGGATTCACATTTATCCTCCAGGCCAATCTCCCTGACTTGTGCCTCCTGTTTGTGCTCTGGCTTGCCTCTGGAAGAAGTTATCTTGCTCAGTGATGAGGTGAACTCAGGAATAGATCAGGGAAAGGACAACTGGCTTAAACTTTAATGGTACCCTTAAAGCAAATAGAAATGCAAGTAGTTCTAGCATTGCTTGAGATAATTTCCTCCCCTTTCCTCACTTACTGACCTTGCTGCACCTATAGACCTTAGCCTTCCACTCCAGTACTGCTCTGTCTTTAGGTTTCCATCACAAAACATGTTCTAAGTCATATGGACAAAGAAGATAAAATTTAACTGGTAGATTGGTATTTTATGTGCTGGAGAAAGGCCTAATGGGATAGCTGATGTGCCAGGATGTCCTTCCTGAGATGCTTTACAGTTCCAACTCAAAGTGAGTCATAAGCATGGAGAAGCAGACAGAGCTCCTATGCTCAGGCATAGCTGTTCTGTGAACAGAAATATTAGGGCTCCTGACACTATCATTTGTCTTTGGAGACAGCACCTTCCCTCCTGCTTTCACCAAGATAATTATAAAGCATGGACCACGTCTTCTAATTAAGCCATAGGCATAAGCCACGTGCTTTTGACATCTGTAAAAAAGAATAAAGAGGTAGAAATGTGACATTGCAGTATACTGCTTGTCTTAGGTAATCCTGTATTTTAAAAATAACAACTTGATCAGTTTGATTTATTTTTTTTTCCTTCTTTTTTTTAACAACTTAGGCTGTTGCCACTGTTGGATTTGTGATACAGGATCCTTTTGGGATCCGTCCCGCTGTTTTTGAGCTAGCTCCAGGGGAGAGTACGACAGTAGAGGTTAGTACCAACTGCTATAGAAAGTATTTATCCTTTTATCAAATACATTAGCAAACAAGATCATTTCAGAAGATCATGACTGGACCATGCGAATCTGGGGTTGTGTGAGCAAAAATGGTCAAATCCTTTTGTGCAATTGTACTGGAAGAATTGCAATTGTGAGTCGTACTGGAGAGTCTTTCATTGCAACTTCCAAGTCTTGCTTAGCCACTCGGAAACCAGTCAGATTTTCCTTCTGTGAAGAATCCTGTTAGAGAAAACAGGAATCTGGGAACACAGGAGTCCTTATTTCACTTCAGCTGGGACATCAAGTCCAAGAAACTTTTCCTTTCTGAGCTTCCTTGGCAAAAAAGGATATCTGAGGAAAAAAAAAATTTCTTTGATTGTAGAGCAGCAGGTACAAATCCTTCACTTATGATGTGCTCTTTCCTGAAAAAGATCCTGCAGTAGGTGTGCTTTACTGTTTGCCACCACTACTTTCTCTGATGTGGGTCACATTTTATTATAGCATCACTATGGGGCGAGGAAGAGGAATATGGAGAGTATCACTCTTCCAGAATCCTGCCCTTCCAGTATGTTCTGGCTGTTGATAAGAAGACAAGAATGGGTCAGGCAGGTGTGGATAAAGGAGAAACATTTCTCCTCTTTCATGTCCTCCCAGGTGCATTGCTTCAGCAGGGCAATGTAGGAGAGAAAGAGGAGATACATTTAGTATGAGTTGAGTTTGCAGGTGGTAATGGATAAGAGGTAGAATAACCACGCCCCACCTTACCCAGCCAAAGTTTTCGGCCTCTGAACAATTTTTGTTGAGATGGAGCTGAGGGAATGCACAGCAGCTGCACTGTTCACACTGCTGTGGCTTGGCAGTGGTGCCATTGCTCAGTGACTGCGGACAGATTTGATTCTGAGGGTGCAATTCATACAACTGACCCAGCAGACTGTCCACATCTGCAACAACTACAGAGGCAGCCTCTGGTGACCATGCAGATGCACACATGTACATTTAGTGACCCAGAAAACACCTCTTTCTTTCTGGTCTGTATGAAGGGAATGTGACACTGTTTCTTGCGAAGGTAAGATTTAGTACTGATCACTAGAACTGTCCTTTAGTGAACATTTATGAATAGAAGTTTATTATTTCCTGGAAAGAACTCAGTTACAGACATTGCTATTTCACTTCTCTCTTTCAGGTAGTGTTTTTCCCTTCTTCTCCAGAATTCTCACAGCAAATATACACCATTGTTTGTGACAGTTGCCAGTTCAGTGATTTTACAGTCACAGGTTTGTTTCTAACACCTTTCAGAGATCACGTTTCCTACACTGTAGATAATCAAATAATGTGAGTGGTTGTTGATGGCTTGAAGTGATGGTAAGATTTTACATCATTCAATTAAGTAAATACTTTGTTCCTTGATGGTGTTAAATGCTAAGCTATTGTGGTGGTGGTGGTGGTGGTGTTATTGCTACTCCATCCCAGTGCATGAAATACATGGGTTTCAGAAAGCACAAAGCTATTAACCCACTGTAGCCAAAACTCCAAATGTAAAATATCATCGAGTAGCAGAAAACCTCTGTAGTCAGGTGCAATTCATTCCTTAGGCTTTTGTGTCGATACAATAACATGGCAAACTATAAGACATGAGCTTTAACAAGGCTGAAAGACATTTGGGTGTGAAGCAAATTTGGGGTGCATCTTGCATTAGGGTATTCAGGAGAGACAGGCAGTCTTTGTGCTAGCTAATGAAACCGGTTGAAATTCTTGTAACTGTTTGTGCTTGTCCTGTAATTAACTGGGAGTGCTATAACATTAGGCTTGACTTGTAGTCTATTTAATCACTTTATTACAGGTATTTCCTCTGGAAATTTTTTAATAGTGCATGTGCTGCTGATTTTTATTTTAATATACTGCCCAAAACATCTGGTAGCCACATTATCAACCAATTGCAAACACTCTGCTCGCTTCAGTGAAACAATGCTGATTGAAGTGAGCTGAGGTTGTGGCCTTGAAATCCAGATCTGTTAAATACATGAAGAGAAGGTCTCTGCTGATATATGTTTAGGAACAAAGAACATCAGGAAAATATTGTACAATTAACACCTTGGAGTTCTGAAACTTGAGGAAATGCCAGATATAATCAGTAATGGCCATTGCTGACATTTGCTGTTAATGAGTAATATGAACAATGTTAATAGTTAAACAGTAATACCTCCTTATTTCTTCAAGGGGTTGGAGAGCTGATAGCTGTGGAGCTCTTGTCTGTCACGGGTGGAGAAAGCAAACCTGAACTCGGTGAAGTTACTGATGTAACAGCACAGCATCTCATACGATTTGACCCCCAAAACCCACACATCACCGAGGAGAAGAAATTGGTTATAAGAAACTCTACGTACGTAGCTGTTATTAATAAAGTAATGCTCTGCAGTCTGAACATACTGGTAGGGATCCCAATTGTGATGCCATCCTCCCTCAAGCTGGAGAAACCTTCATGCCCTTGATAAACTTTGTGCTGAAGCCTTGCTTCTTTTTGCTCGGTTGTTTAGTAATTAAGGATATGCTTGTAAGAGCAGGAACATTATCAATAGATCAAACATTATGGCAACCATTAGCCATACCATTCTATTCATACGCTGCCTGCCTAGGTCAATGTATTTGCCTCAGTGTAAATAAATCTACAACCGCAAAAGAGTCATAAATATGGACGGTTGCAGGAAATGTTTAACAGGGTCATCCAGATGGGATCTATCTAACTTTACATGTTTACAATGTATACTTGTGCAACTGAGCTAAGCACCTTGTGCTCTTTTCCTTTCATAGTGCAGGGAAACAGATGCTTTTAAGGAAGCAATTCTGACTGTAGACATCTCCCACAAAATAAGACATAAAGCATCCTGGACTCCACTAGATCTCTGCTGGTTAAAATGGGAGCCTAATGCAACTACCTCATATTAAAACTTTCACGTGATTCCTACTATTGAGTCCTAATAGATTTAAATATAAACTCTATTTGAAGACAAGGAATATGTCCCTATGTACAGTTACATTGTACTGAACATATTTACATCCTGATTTTACTCAAAATCAGTCAGGCAATAATAGAAGTACACTAATGTGCATGATTGCAGTAGCTAGAGGCTGCAGATCATCAAAGTAGTGAGGACATCAGTACTGGTTTTAGATACATTAATGTAAATTGCTACTTGCTACAGTGAATTTCTGGAAGTTTGTTTAGTGGCCTGGAAACCACACATGCATAAAGCCAGAAGAGAATGCTGTTTGGGTAAAGAAAGTGGGATTCAGTGAGCTGGATACTGTAGACTGACGAAGGGTGTGTCTATGCCAATTTCCACGTTTTCGCTGTGCTGTGATGATGACAGCAGCCCCTGCACGTCTGGTGTGTCAGCATTTGTATGAAACAAAGCTGGCCAGACTGAACTTCATAGAAGCAGAAAAGAGAAAACTTTCTACTGCTACAGAAACCAATACAAGAAGTTGCACTAGTTCAGTTTTATGCCATCGATACTGACTCTGAAATTCCAGTGTCCTTCCTCCTCTTAGTAAGGCAAAGTTTTTGAGGTAGTCCAAACAAAGTTTTAAAACCTATAACCCATTCCACAGAATACACTTCTGCTGAAGCAACCTAGTTAGAAACCTTTTCTGGATTACAGAGAATACTGCAGAGTCACACCACAACTTGGACTTGGATTAAATTCAGAATGTCATGTAGATGAGCAGCAGCAATCCAATGCAAACATACTGATATCAGTTTGGGGTTGATCTCAGATTCTTGAAAGAAGAATTGTCAAGTTTCATAAAAGTTGTATTACATTACAAGTTCAATAAGGCAAGAAAGTGTTGCCATATTTTGCATATTTATATAATTTACTTCAATAAATTAGCATGTTCTTTGTGCTGTTGATGTACTCTGGCTCTGTGCTGCCTCATCAGCTTTGTAGCTTGCAAAGACTGGTAAGTCTAACCTCTGTCATTTTCAAGGAG